GTCAACTGCAAAACTGTGCCTGTTGCATACTTATTAGCCCATCTGAGCTAAAGGAACCAGTAAATTTTTTAAAAACATAATTTTATCCATTATCATCATTGTCTAAAATTTCACAATATCATTTTCCAGAACCAAAGTGAAACTTGGCACAGAGCATCCTTAGTGTAGGGGATTCAAATTGTTCTTATGCAGGGCAATACCTTCAAAGAGATTTGTTTCTTTAATGCTGTAAATGTATTATATTTAGCTTGTACAATATTTGGTGGAAATTGACTTTTGAATAAGTTAGCGTAGATATTCTTATTTATGTTTATGTACAAGACTTTTAGCTTTGTACTTGATTTAGTGATTGCTGCATTCTGCCAAAGCCGCTAAAAAAGAATACACAGCCATATGTAATATGTTTACAATATACTTTTCAGAGAATTTTACACTCCTATAGAGGTACCACCAGTTGCTAGTGGAAAGCTGCAAATTCGAAACATACACAACACATTTCTGTGCGTTTATTATAAAAGTATTGTTCTACTTACTGATTGCAACTAATGAAGATTGTTCATCATTATTGTAAATACATTTGGATTTTTTGATTTATTATATAATTTGTTTATTTTATTTACCTAGTTATATTGTATATTAAATGATTTTAAAGCCATTTTTAAGATGGTAATGTAGCAAAACACTTATGTTTCTGTAGTATGACACGTTTCACAAACATAATTGCAACAAAGATGATATATCCGTTATCAAGAGTCATAATATTGGAAGTTTAACTGTTGTGGATACGATTTCAAGAATGCTGTTAGAGAGAGTACCCTTTAGACCTAATGCTCACACCAAATTAAAGAATTCAAGTAAGGGTTTTTGAGACAAATCGAAAAATAGAATGTTAACAAAGTTGACAATCTAGACAGAAACATTTAATCTTTTGCTTATCGCTAGGAAGGAAGACCCACTCGTTGCTTTGCAACGAGCTTTGCTCTAGTTTCTATTTACTAATTATGTGTTTGATATAGTCAAAATTGATGCAAACATTGTTGTGAATTATTGGTCAGCTTTATCGAAACTGATGAAATATAATAATTGAACGAAGTGGTTAGTATCTCTTACCGGTATCTTAATGGTATCTAAATAATTGAATGTATTGGAAAATCATTTGATAACATTAATTGACCAGATTCAGAATTGTAATTAAACACTCTGATTAAATCTACAAGTAATTCGATTGAAGCAATTTCACAGATGTTTGGAAAACTTTCCAATTATAATACCAGGATCTGACAATTGGAAATATTAAGATATATTCTAAAACTGGACAGGCGGAGGACAAAACAAGAAATAAAGCCAAACGTTTCAGACTTACCTCTATACGAAATTTGTGCCCCCCTGTTCTCGTTTGGCTTCCAGTGGATATACTAGTTCTAACACTAACTCTATAATATATGAACTGTACCTGTGCTGACAACATTGTGCATGACGTCTATATTGTGCAACGATGACATAATAAATATATATATAACCAAATAAACAGCATTGTGTTATAAATATAAATAATAGTTTACTGCCAAAATGGGCTCCTGGAGGCAAAGTACACAATATATAAATACTACATGAATGAGAACATTTTTCTGGTGTTTATGACACTACAAAAAGCTAAATATTTTCAAACTCATTTAAAAAGTATTGAAAAAAGTTAAACAGAAATAATAAGGAAATGTTAAATGTTCAAAATGATGCGTGTCTGAAGCATTAATTAAGAAAGGATCTGAATAAGGTGCCTTTAAATCGAAAGAATGGATGAATTGTTGGTCATCACATTAAACAGTTAAACAAAGTGCCCTGTACATTTACTTCCATGTGCATGACCAAAAGTTCGATGAACGTGTATCAATTTTATTTCTAGTATATCAAATTAATGAACCTGAAGTTGTGCAATTAAAAACTGGTGAATAATTTAAAAAATAAACAGAACTTTTACAAAAGTCAATTGTTTACAATTTTTAAATGACATTTCAGACAATGATACTATAGAGTAAAAAGACGGGTATACACCCCGCGTACAACATCTTGCATACACCCCGGACACAACATTGATTTTTTGTCAATTTCTCTATATACGAACTGTTTTATTTACAGACAAACGTTTATATTGTAAACATATATTTAACAATAATATAAAAGTGACGATAAAGAAAGATTATAAACACATTGTAGTGTCAATCTTGCTCCGATCTTGGAATTGTGTTTGAGGTTGTTTGATGAAACTAGAAGGTGTCCAGTGGATTCACAGGTATCCATATACTCCTTAGACAATGCTTCCTTCCGTAGGCATATGCTTTCTGGCGAAAAATATTCGTAAATTGAGAAAATGGACAAAGAACGTACATTAACTCCCATTCTCTCGCTTTGGAAGTATACACCCCGCACACAACATAGTATACATTCCGCATGTTGAGATATACACGGTGTGATAGGGGACTCCCTTGCAATCTCGAAGTCGGCAGCAGGACGGGCAGTTCGAGGAGTTACCTCCCTCCTCTGTAATTTGACAAGGCAATACATTGGTTTTCCGTCAGTTCCTGAAATTGCCGAGATACGTATCAAAATGAGACTGAGTTTGTTTGCAGGAAAGGATACTACGCTTTAAAATGTTCAGGTGACTAGTTAACAACAATTGTTTCAGTTTACTTTAAAAATTTCCTAAATCATTTTTTATTTAGTGGACGTTGATTGTTGAAAGTTTAAACTAATAAGATGAATGGGAAAAAAAAAGGGGGGGTAGGGTAATTGTAATTTTTAACAACCCGTTTTCGGTTGATGAATTAATTACAATATTGAGATAAATCTGCTATTAAGGGGTGGTGAGGAATGTAAATGTTTCCTAAAAATAAAAAAATCCTTAAATTCAGTTGTTCGATATGTAGGCCTTAATTTTTCTCAGTGAAATAGTGTTTGCTTCGCTTAATTCATATATAATTATTGTACATGTGTAAAATGTAATTGATAATTGCTTTTAGAGTATACAAGCTGATCCGCGATTTTTTTTTTCAGAAGCTGATGAATGATATAATTAAATATGATAAAATATTTTCAGTAGAGTATAAATAGCAGTTTTGTAATTACAAACAATGTTTTTCATTGGCTTTGAATGTCATTCACAAAACAAATTCAGGGAAAACATTCAAGTAAAATGCAATAGACAGTTATTGTAAAAAAATTTCTGTTTTTTTTTTTAGTTATAGCTCTCTCTCTCTCTCACTCTCTCCGATCTACGATTTAAAAAATATCAGTAAGGTATTATTGCAGAATTATTTTTTATCCTTAGATGGCTTGTGATGCATCATCCGTTTTGTAAATTGTGTTGCAAAATGGCCTGGGAGCGTTCACGACTCGCGTGTTTTTAAAGAGTCGTCTCTAGCCAGATTATTTGAGACTGGTAAGAAGTAATGTGATAAGAATAATTTAACTGTTAATAATGGGTTTGACACTGGCATTTTTTCACAGATACTTATGTTGAATAAAGAATTAAAAAATGATTTTTTATCAGGTGCCTGCACAGGATTAATACTGGGAGATTCGGGTTATGCGTTAAGGAAGTATTTGATGGTTCCGTATCTGGTTCCATCGAGCAGTGCCGAGGAGAAATTTAACCTGCTCTGTGTCGCACTCGAGTAACAATATAACAGGCTCTCGGGGTCTTGAAAAAAAAAAAGGTTTCCTTGTCTCCAGATAGGTATGTTATACAGTATATATATATATATATATATATATATATATATATATATATATATATATATATATATATATATATATATATATATATATATATATATATATATATATATATATATCTTGTTGATATAATTTTAGTAATGAACACAGAAAAGGCCTTTAAAGGTTTTTGAATTTATTTTTATTTTTATTGGTAAGACCACTTGTATCATTAAAAACAATTTGAGTTTTAAGCAGAATTTTTTACTCTGCTGAGTTGAATTTCCTTAGCGTTCGTGGCACACTTTTTTGAGTAGCAACTCAGGAGAGGAAAGGAAAGCTTACTCTACTCAGATTTGAGTTGAGTAAAATTAAACGTTTGTGGCCCCGAGGCGTGGTCCTTGCCGGTCAAAACTTAGGACCAAAGTTAAATTTTTTAAAGTTTGTAAATATCCAAGGTAAAGGTCAAAGGGTCAATGTTGTTGGTATCCAATTAAATGATATAACAAAAAATATATATGCTAAGTATGGAAATCCAAGTGTCTTCCATTAAAAAGTTAATGCAAAAGTAAAGGTTGGAATTTTTGTTTATAAGTGTGTCAAACTCCAAGGCTAAGGTCAAATATAGTACCCTAAGAATGGCCTTGTCACAAGAAATACATATTTGAAATATGAAAGTATCAAAAGTTATGGATAAGTTTACAGCTTTTGAGGACAAACAGACAGTTAGGCAGACAGAAAGACAGCTAGACAGACGGACGGGCACGGCAAAAACTCTATACTCCCGAACCTTCTATTACGTGGGCATACAAAATAGGAAAAATAAATATGTATCACAGTAAAGTCCTCTTTTGTAAAGTGTATTTCATTAGATAAAAAAAAAATAGAGTCTATGGTATCTGTCAAGTTGTGAATTTTGATCTTCCCGGGGGCAGGAAATATACAATTTACAACATAAGGAAAATTTACTGTTGCACGAAAAATACTTGCAAATACAAAAACAAACTAGAATCTCAATCTAACATTGCCTCAAAAGTCTGTGTAAATTTGTGCCCGTCCATTTCCTTGTCTATAATCAAAGGTTCTTATTGTAACAGTTAGATGGAAATTGTGTAAACTGCATTTCCCCAATCTCGTCAGCTACTGTTCTATGGTGTTATTTACATGTTACGAAAAAAAAGACATTCATTTGTTACTATTTTATCTTTAATTATTCATACAAATTACATAAATGTACATGTAAAACATGTATTTTATTGATCAGTTTGTCATTATACATGTACCTTCCTTCAAACATTTCTCTGCAATTGTTGTTTAACACATTCTATTCTAAACTCTGTAGCTTCATTTAATTTATTATATGGTTTCTGTTTGAGCGACTCTTCATAAGACCGTAAAGCCCCATGCAAGTCTCCTACCACATGTTGACAGATTCCTAGTATCTGCCAGGATAGGTCTCTGAGATATAAAGGAACGTATGTCCCGTCATCATAGAGCAGTAGTGTCTGTAGGTCTGTCAGTGACTGTAAACACTGAGATCTATTACCTAGTCTATAGTGAGATAACACAGACAACATCTCTACTACAACAAACGGTGATACTCTTAGGAATGACTGTTTATTCACTAACTGTTCTATATATAATTCTTCAATATAGAGGATATTTTCAATTAAATCAATATTCTTCACCCAGGCTTTTTTCATTCTCATAGACAAAGGTACGTTACTTAAAGCTTGATTGTACTTCAGCCTGTCGACAGTATCGCTATAAATGTTAAAGTTCTGTGACAATCTTTGTTGAGTTATATTAGTGATATAAAGTGTTTTATCATATCTTCCTGTTCTATAGTAATACAATGCCAAATAAAGTAAATAAGACACAGGACCTAATGTTGCTGCTATTTTTAACATCCCACAAATTTTTGTATCTAAGTTATAAATATTTATATGTGTGTAACATGAAGTACTGTTCGCCATTATGAAGGATAAACGAACAAGAGGTTCAACATTACAGTACTGTAATGTTAATAACTGGTAAGATGAGAGTGATGTCCGATAAAGTGTGGCAATTGATTTTAGATAAAGATAAAGTTCCAATATGTGGTTAAGAAAAAAATGAAACATCGATAATTCATACATGGCACACATGTCTGAATCAGCAATTCTTATGAATTCTCCCTCAGCAGGGGATAACACAAAGGACGGGCTACTGAGGGCTGGTTCTAGGATTGATCTGAGAGTCGGACTCAGCAATAGACAGGACACGCCCATTCTATAATACTGATAAAGCTGTTGTAAAAGAAGTTCACGTGCATCACCATTAACTTTTTTTATGAACATGTTATTCTGTGGAATGAAAAAATTTGGAAAAACTCCACGATAAACACAATAAATCAGATATTTAAAACACCTCCAAAAGCAATCCAGTAAGTTGTTAGGGCACCATCTAACTTGTCCTGATTGCATCATCCAGAACATTGTGGTCTTTATGTAATAAGAACACAGTATTGGTTCCTAATTGTAGTTAATAACTTCCTTCAGAAATAATTTTAGAAGTCCGTAACATAGAAATTGTGTATGATTCATGCTACACACTAGTTGTTGCTCGGCTTTAGAAAACGATAATCTCCATTCCAGTTCGTTATAAGGCGATTCAACTTTACTTCTAATAGGCATACAGTGACATTCGTTTTTTAGAATTTTTTCCAACACAGATGTAGACGGCCAGGTATGTCTCTGGCATCTCTCAATACAACTTCTTGATAGTTTAGGCCAAGGAAAAGAGGCTAAACACCAACCTATATCAAGTTCAAAAGGGCCCAAAATAGAATTACTACAAGGACCATGCATTTGAATTGTTAAATTTAAAGGGTAAGATTTGGAGCTACTCTTTAGCAGGAATTGAAAATGTTTTTCTCTCCACAGACGACTAGATAAATAAGCTCCACTATTAAAGAAAACAATGTATGATAGCGGTACTGGTATTAGGAGGCGCAGTTTGACAAATCCTGGCGGCGTATCAGAATTTTCTATGAGCACAATCGTATGCTTTGATGAATTATAAAGCCGAGACTGGGAAACGTCAGTTATTAGTTTATAATTGCAAAACCAGAGCATTCTATCCCTGTCAGAAGAACTCATCCTAAATCCCTCTCTATAACTGCCACTCTCCACCATTACATATCCTATCTGATTATAAACAGGTTTCATTATCATCTCCTCCATGTCCAGCACATCCCTTCTGATGGCTACTTCTGTCGGTGTTCCTATCTTACGACACAGACCAACGTACAGGACCTCTGATAGACGGGGAATGTGATCCATCCTGTAAATATGTTGATAATATATAAAGGAAAGAAATACTTAAGTATCATTTTGACCAATGTAGCAATAATGTATGATGATTATTTAAGATATACATATACATACATGTAACATTAATAAGGCTCTTATATTCTCTCTGCAAATTGTGGTTTTTAAGTCATACGTGAAAATTTTAAGGAAATGCCCAGAATTATTAATACATCATAGACTTGCCTAGATAACCGATTGGTCTAGAGCACTGTTCCTGTACTGTTAGGAGACTAATTCCATAAATGTGAGATCAACCCCGGGACGGAGCGGAAGTCTATATATTTATTTTTAAATTTACTATTTTTACATTTGAAAAAGTTTTTTTTCCTTTGTGCGATCAACCTGGCTCAACTTGTGAAAGATATGGATTTTCCTCTATAACATTACCATTTTAATTGGGCAGTAGTGTCTGTATGAATTAGTCATACAAAGTAAAATCATGTACATGTATATATAATATGCTCCTCCGGGGGCCCAAATTGGATTAATAAAAAAAAATCTTGTAAATCTTGTATAGGGTTAATTAACTGTACGTCATGATACGTTAATGGAATTGCCCATTGCTTAAGAACTCTTTCATACGAACCGGTCTAACCGCTCAACGTTAACGGAATGATTAAGGAAAGTTGTTATCATGAGAAATAATGGAGAAGAATATTGCGTTGATGTTGATATACAATTCTTTTATATATATTTTTTTTGCTTTTTTAAATACGTATTCTCAACATATAAACATATAAATATTTCCAGTCTACTTAAATTTGAGGGTATATTATAATTATACAGTTATGTTTTATCTATGTCCTTTATGATTTTATCAATGTGTCACTTCCTGGTCTACTTTTTAAATTATGATAGAAACATTGTAAAACTTTTTTTTTTACATGTAAACATTCTCTGTATTTGTTGTTAAACACAATCTATACTGAACTCTGAAGCTTCTTTTAAATTTTATTAAATGGTTTCTATTTAAGAGACTCTTCATAAAACCGTAAAGCCCCATGTTAGTCTCCCACAACTTGCTGACAGATCCCTAGTATCTGCCAGGATAGGCCTCTGATGTGTAATGGAACGTATCTCCCGTCATCATAGAGCAGCAGTGTCTGTAGGTCTGTCAGTGACTGTAAACACTGAGATCTATTACCTGGAATTTCATTCCATGTTGTTGACTCACAAACTGTTCTAAATATAATTCTTCAAGACAGGGGATATTATCAATTAAATTAACTTCATCCATCCAGGCTATTTTCATTCTTTTAGACAAAGGGAGTTTACCTAGAGCTTCGTTGTACCTTTCCCTATCAATATAGAATTGATACACAATAAAGTCCTTTCATAGTCTTTGTTTAGTGACATAATATATTTTAGAGTTTTACCATATTTCCCTGTTTTATAGTAATACAATTCAACATATAATGAACAAGACACAGTACAGTACCCAATCTTGCTGTCATTTTTAACATTCCACAAATTATTGTTTCTAAGTTATAGATATTTCTATGCCTGCACCATTAAGCACTGTTTGCCATTGTAAAAGCTAAACGAGCAAGAATCTGAGCAATACAGTAGTGTAATTTTAACAAATGGTATGGTGGGACTGATAATACAGTTAGTGTGGTGATTGATTTAAAATAGATATATCGTTCCTATATATTTTCAAAAGAAAAACTTTATTTATTTCAATCATGTCACATATATCTAAATCTGCAGTACTCATAAACTCTCCCTCAGCAGGGGATAACACAAGGGACGGGCTACTGAGGGCTGGTTCTAGGACTGATCTGAGAGTCTGGCTCAGCAGTAGACAGGACACGCCCAATCTAATATACTGATAAAGCTGTTGTAAAAGAGATTCACGTGCTGCATCAACATGTTTTGTTGTAATATAAAGTCAAGACTTGGAGATGTCAGTTATTAATTTATAATTCCAATTCCAACACATGTCATCTACGTCAGTTGATTCAAACCTTAACCCCTCTCTATAACTCCCACTCTTCACTCCAGCATCTCCTCTAAACTCTAAACAGGTTTCTCATCTCTTTCATGTCCATCCTTTCTGATGGCCAGTTCTTCGATGTCTGTCTCTATCGTACGACATAGACAAAGATACAGGACCTCTGATAGACGTGGCATAGAGAGTTTGTAAAAATTCTGAGACTATGCATGCCACAGCTCCTGTATAAAATTTCGAGTCATTACAGAGAATTGTTATTATTTAGGTAATTCTTTAATACATGCATATGCATGTAGGTGGGCCAATGAAGGACGGAATGGTTATTTCCAGCATTTTAGAAAAAAAAACCCTGACCCTGACCCTGGGGTGGTAACCTAGAAAATTGACTCGGGTTAAAAAGTAGTCGTTTTTTCAATTTTGAATATTGAACCTTGGGGTGACCAAAAGAACATGTAATGAAATATATAATGTGTCATTTTTCCACAGCTTAATTTTTTAATAGCTAAAGTCCTCAACACTCTGAAAAATAACACTGTAATGATGATATAGATATGTATACATTTATCAATTTGTCAATATTTCAGCTAAAAACCTTTCATTTTTCCAAAATAATAAGAATCGATCTCATATCATCACGAATTTATTTGTTCGTTTTTTATCATTACATTATATATTTCATTGTATTTTATGAATTCAAATAGACAACTTTCATAATTACGAAGTTATTTCCCTTTCTGGGTTTCATCTGTGCAAGACACCGATATATATCTGATTGCGCCTATGAGAAAAGGATCCTTATGACATTTTTACTAAAAACAAAGAAATAACGTCATAAAGATGTGACGTTGCAGACTGACGGTGAACTTCGACGTAGATTTTTTTTTTCTATCGACGTGTTTTGACGTTTGATATTTTGAGTTTTATATCGCTGTTTCCAACGTGTGGAATTTGTTTTCATTTATAAATTAGTTTAATCAATATCTGAATCTCCTTATTCACTGATTTTAATAGATATAAATAAAATCATTTAGAACTGGTTTCTTAAGAAACATATCGATTATACGTCTCTAATATCTAAGGCTTGTACCAATACGGCAATAATAAGTTTTCCAACATGAAACGTTATAAGCTGTTTTTTCTGATGGAATAATAAACGTGTATACTCTACAAAAATAAATTTTATTCTAATATTTAGACTAGTTTAGGGTACATGCTAGATAGGGGTATATTAATTGTTAAAATATTGCAAAGGAAAATTGTCGTCCTTTTGTGAGATCCGCTCCACCACTCTCAATATACATCGTGATCGCGTCGATCACATGTAAACATTGATTCATCGGTGCATACTGCTTAATTTTTTGCTAAATTCTTTGTGATAATGGTGAAACTAAACATAAATCTTCCACGTTTTTACAAATCTAGCAAAAATGTGTAAGAAAGACAGTCAATATATTTTTATTTTTCTGTAAATAAAAAAATAGGAGAGATAACTCTTATGTCAACAATCGATGTAACAGGGGCTCCAGAGAGGGACTTTCATTTTAATTGCGTACTTTTTAACATTTCAGCTGCATGTTCGCAGGAATTTGCTCCCAGTTTATAAAAGGGATCTTTTATGACCAAATAAAAACAATTTTAATTGTCAGCATAACTATGATTGTCTAAAAAAATATTTTTTGTACTCTGGGAACAATGTCCTGTTAAAGTAATGTAGAAAAGGAAAGGAAAAAAAAAACAAAGGAAAAAAAGGAAAACTGCAAAATTTAACCAGACTTTCAATTTTTTTTTTTCAAATCTCTAAGGTAGAGCTATTTTTTTTCATGATTTCATAATTTCATTTTTTATTAAAAATTATATACATGTATACTGTCTACCCTATAATTATGATTAAATAAATCAAACTTTAAAAAATGTTGTTTTGTCTTATTTTATTGTTGCACAAAGACACTTCAATTTAGAGAAATTAAAACAAGCAAAAACATCCAAATGAAAAAAAAATGTTCTAAATGTTCTAAATTAAATAGAGCGGGTCAAGTAAATCTGATGGGGGGGGGGGGGAGGGGTAGATAAAAATATTTATATTGAATCTATTTATTAGTATTGAGAAATGTGAAACTTTATTGAAAAGATGAATTTTCAAAACAAATAACATACTGTAAAATGCAAGAAAAATTCTTTTTGTTCATGTATGACTATTTATTATTTCAAGATCTCCAAAATATACATGTTAATCTTTTGGTACTTACGTGTTGCTTTTTTATACAGAGTTCAAATGTTTTAAGCCTTATCTGCAAATTAATCTCTAAAGCCATGAAGAACTTTGTCTTTCAACAAAGCTCTATCAGCAATGAAAACCGCTTAACAGATCAATTATCATGCTAAAATCTCAATTCATCACTGAACTTATGATATTATTGTTTAACCTGCCATCAAATTATGCATGAATATTATTATATATGCACGTGACACATGTATGATTTTATTTGTTTTGATTGATTAAAAAAATTCCTTATAAGTTCAGGGGTTGGGTTTTATTTCTACATGTAAATGCAGGCAGAAAATAAAATTCAATGCTGAAAATACACGTCATGAAACGTAACAATATGCTTGCATTTTGTTTTATTTATGCGGCAGTACAGGGGGTGGGGTGGGGGTGTCCTTTTTTTATTTTCGTAACATGTAAGGCTTTATAAGGCTATGCATATCCTAGCTTCTGGCATGGGACCAGAATGGAATTCACACTCTGTAAAACACACTTCATAAAATAAAATTAGAAAACAAGTCATTAGAATGAAGGGATTTTTTTTTTATCAAGTCTTAAATAATATAATGAATTTTCTAAGATGTTTACATCCCTACAAAACTCTGATATTTCAAAACTCGGACAATTGTCAGGAAATCAATTATTCAAAACAGTCGTATTGAACTGACTGTAATTTAGGCATGAACAATTACATGCTTTTAATTTTTAACCCACTCAACCACAACAAAATCTATACGTTAAACTGCATGATTTTATAAAAATCACATGACATGATATAGTTATTATGGATCTGTCTACTGGATATTTTTTTACTCTGTTTCTTATTGTTATTTATACTGCGATTGTACACGTTTTTTTAATTAATGAGG